GGAAGTTGGAAAATTAAGATAAAATTTTAAATTAAATTGTAATCCGAAATTTTAGACATTAATGATTTACACTTATTTTCTTGCGCCTCGTTACAATTTTTATCGCGGTCAATTACTATCGAAGGGTTACAGTGTCAAAAATTATCGGGTACGCGTGTGTAAATGTGTGTGGTGTGCATGTGAATGTAGAAGGTGAGGATGAATGTTAGTCTTCAAGGTTAATACGGGGTGTAGGAAATGAAGGGGAAAGTAGATCTCAAGGACAAAACCAAATTTTGGACTCTTCAGAATTATCACAATTAATTAGCGCGACAGGAATCACATAAAACAAAAAAAAAGAAAAATAAAAGACTCGTAGGACTTACTTTTCGGTGATAACCTTTACCAAGATGGGGGTTAAGGATGATCAATGGGCTCAGTCAATTCGTGGGCAACGTTTCCTCAAAGTCCCTTCAATTTTTGGCGCGGTAGCACTTGTGAAGAAGTAGTGACGAAGAGATGAAGAGTGCCTCGACGAAGTGAATTGAAGTAAGCGGAAGAAAGGAATGCGACGTCTGTCCAGTAGTAGAAGAGACCCAAGAGAGGAAGTCGTGAACCAAGCGAGGAAGTGCGAGCACAACGCGGGGTCGCGGTTTTATAGGGGATTAGCTGGAGATGGTTTGGTAGGAAAAATATGACATTTCGGGGATCCTAGGTGTTAGATTCGTTAAAAGAGGAAGGCATGGGGTAATGTTGCAGCCAGTGATAAATGAGCAGATAGGGTTAAAAAGATCTCTTTGACTGGGGTAATGGGTGGAGAAAATCGTACGTTTAAGAGAGACGGCAATTGGAGGATTTTTCGGTGGTGAGGGAATCTGTGGACAGGGCGGAAGAGGGTGATGCAAGTTGGAAAGTAATGGATATAATTTTTTTGTTATCTGGTGTCTCCTTCTGATGTTATGGGTAAGGTACGGCGGTTTCCTTTTGATGTTAAGGTCCAGCGAAACTTACTTGGAGGATTAGGAGATTTTTGGTTCCGTATTTCCTAGTTATCGGGAATTACGGTTCGAATTTTTATTGGGATAGACGGGAAAACCGATTAGGATTTGGAGCTGTTTGTTGGGTGCCGACAGGAGGATAAAAGATAAATAATGTGACTCACGTCTGTGCAGGATGTAATACCGGAATGAAATAAGTTACTATTGATATTAGACGTATGAAACTATGAATATGAATATGAATATGAATGTACTTGTAAGGAATGATAAGCCAGTATACGACAATCTTTCGTATAGTTACCGTTCGACTGCTGAAAAATGAAATTCTATGGAAATATAATTTAATTTACGCATTTTATTGCATTTATAAATTAATCTTAATTTAAATATTTTTAGTAAGTATTGCAATCTCGAAAGACTAGCGGAAAGCTGCGCACATTAACACTCATCACATTAACACAAAAGTTGAACTTTAATAAACATTGACTGACGCTTAATGTGACGATAGGTTGGGTTAGGTTAGTTTTTAGGGGGGTCCAGCTCCCCGCTAGTCGTTCGAGATAGCAGCATCTACTAAAAAAATATTTAAATTAAGATTACTTTATAAATGCAATTAAATTTATAAATGCAATAAAATGCGTAAATTAAATTATATTTTCATAGAATTTCATTTTTCAGCAGTCGAACGGTAACTATACGAAAGACTGTCGTATACTGGCTTATCATTCCTTACAAGTACGTTTCATATATTAATATCAAAAGTAACTTATTTCATTCCGGTAAGAAATGTAAACAAAACAACTTTCACTTATCGAACAACAATGACGCCAAGTTAGTTATATACGGAATATGATTTTGACAGATTTAAACAGATTTTTAAACGATAAAAGATCTAATCGGTACTGACTGAAACGCGATGACGCGATTCAATCAGTTAGAATCACTATTAGTAGAAGAATCTGGATAATGTTTCACTTAATTGATTAGATTAGATTGGTTATAGTATAAATTAAAAAATTATGATAAAGCAAAACTACTGTACGGAGATATATGGTTAAGGATATATACGGCTAGGTTCTGTAAAGTTACCCAAGCTCGTCCCTCAATACGACAGATTACGTCTTATTTTTATATGTTAAAAGAAAACTGGCTAAAGTCCTTATTCCGCGAAAGCTATCTTTATTAGATAAAATAAAATAACTAAAAATCGTATACATGTTTATCATGAAAATGATTCTTCTAAGAGATAACAAAAGATAACAAAAAGATTGTAACAAGAGATAACAAAAAACTCGATTCGATTATTAGATGACTTTTATAGATGAAGTTTTTTAATCTTGTAATGGACCACGTCACTTTGTTTTCTTTTTGTGACTCGGTCTTTTCCTGAATGGTGGGCCAATTTTTCCTCCACCGGCAGTTTGTCACAAACTTACTCGTTCTCGGGTCACTGTTGACAGTTTGTCTTTTGAAACCAGTGCGCCCTTAGTCCGGACTTAATAATCATCATGGACTTTGTGCTGTGTCGAATCATTCATGTCTTTGTCCGAGGAGATGTTTCCTTATCTGTTTCATATCACTTGGTCTTGGTTTTTATGCCGAAGGTGTTACGTATTGGTAATCGATCTTGGTTCTTCCTTCTTTTTTTTGTGTGTTTCTTCTTTCTTTTGCGATTTTGGGTTTCTCTGTGGGGTTTTTAGTGTTGTGCTCTCCTTCTATTATTATCTCATTATCCTAGGTTGGTACTTCAATGGCACTTGATAGTTTCTGACGCTTAAACGGAAGATTAATAGATGAAGAGGTTACGAGTGTTGTTCCAGATGTACCTGTTGCCGGAAGAGTACTCGGTGTGGAGTTTAATAATTGTTGACTCACCTGAGGTTTCGATAAAGATGTTATTAATGTACTTTTTCGTATGACGTTGCTTAAAATTGAGCATGGGGGAAGAACTCGATTGATTTCTTCCTATTTTCCTACTTTGTACTTTTCCATTTGTTTTTGAAATTTTAGCGCCTCTTTCAGAATTGGAGTGACCTTTGCCAAGTAATCTTGACGCGCTTCATCATTTTTATTTTTCCAATATTGTAGTAAGCTGTCCCATCTCTCCATTGGTAGTGTTGGAATTTTCTTTGGGTTACTCATGTAAAACTCTAGAGATCTTTCTAGAGGGACATCTATCTTTGTAACATTTATCGATTCTTTCGGTGTTATGTTTTGTTTGTTTTCCACGTGGAATGACTGGTTGGGATGGTGTTTGGGATTAAAGGACTCAGCCCGACGATAGTCACGTGTTGCTCTTTCAATTCTTTCGGACAGAGATTCGGTAAACTTTGATGACATAGGATCCATGATGATGTATCAAGTTGTTCGCAAATTTTTCTCTTTTGTTCATGTTCGGCAAACGCTTGATTTAGTTTCTGTACATATTTATTTATTTCTTCCTTTGAAAGGGATCTTTGGATATTTTTGCCGATTTTAATAATTGGTTTTGTCGGGGTGTTAATCTCGTGACGCTTATTTCCTCAGCTGTTATTTCGTAATTCTCTATTGAGAGGTGGGTATTCTTGTTAGCACTTGACCGTAAGTGTATTTTCTTCTGCCACTGGTTCCACTATCCGGACGCGCACGAACTCGCAAGAACACGCACGGACCTGCACAATCAAATTGTGTAGTAAATCGCTGACTATTTCCCTAACACTTACAAATCTTACTTTAGGACTGTTGTAGACGACTAGTCGTTAGGATCTGGGAAGCGTACCAGCTTCAACACTCTTCTCGTTCCTTTCCAGGTTACTAGTGGTCTGTTCTTTTCAGCTGCACTGCTACACTGGGGTGCAATAAGTTAAAGTGAAATAAAATATATTTGTCTCATTCTAATTTATTGCACCAGTGCAACAGTGTAGCTGAAAAGAACAGACCTTAGAACTTCGCTGCTTGTGACACGATCGGGACACCTCCGCAAACACGTGCGCTCTCCAAAATGGACGGCGGAAGAAAGGCAACGAGGCCCGGCCAGAGCCCACGATCACGATGATTGAGTAAGTATCACGCGCCATCTAGGTGCCCGCGCGCGCACTCACAAGTCAGGCTCTCACAATATTACACAGATTTGATACAAGTATTTGACTTCAAAGGCTAAGTAATAAGAGATAAATATCATTCCTTCGTATCTTTTAGTTTATTGCAGGAGCGACAATGTGAAGATAAAGTGGGCGCTTGAATAGAAGAGTTCGCGAGTCGCGGTCGTATTTGTTTTTATAAATTATTACAAAATTAATTTTATTCATACTATGCGAATTATACAAAATATCGTAATTTTTATCTTATAATATTGTCATACAATTTAATTAAAACAAATATTATATTTATTATTGTATATATTTTTACATGGCAATTTCTCACAGATCTACGATAATGAATTAAGAGGAATAATATAACACGGTGTAAGTTGAAAATCGATCAAAATATGTAATGTGTGCGAAGATCTGATTTGACTAACATTTATGCGTACTCTGTGATACCTGAGCTTCATATACTCCAGTATTTAATATGTTTCCTTGCGATCCTGGTTGTATGGACTCTGGTCGTGCTAACGTAGTTTCATTTTCTAGCGGATATAACTTTAGTGTTATGTACATATTATAAGCGTATTTTTTATGTGATTAACCGCTAGAATCTTCTTAAGCAAGAGTGACAGAGAATGCGTAAATTGTTCCACTAAACGTTCCATTAAATGTGTCCTTTTATTTGTCGCGCCAACACGGAAATGCAACAATATTTCTCACAGTTTCCATCATTGTTTATCCGAATTTGAACAAAACGTTCGTGTAGAGCCGTGTGGCAGAATAAAATACACGCATCATTCTATTTTGAAATCGACAATAAAATTTCATGTAACGGTCAGTCTGAAAGTTAGTAAAAAGTTAATATTTTTTGCAAACTTCATACTTTTTCTATAGTACTATTATATATATTCTATATACTATTCTTAAAATTAAAGTAAAATAAAGGGAGAAGCAGAAATATCCGAAATCTCTTAAGACAGTTTGGCATTACTTAGCTCGCCGATAGAAGTTGTACAGATTGTCCATTTACACGTCCGATTTCGAGCTGTCGCAACGAATCTTAGCGAGGAATTATCGTTGGTCGTGCACAGGCGAAAATAAAAGTAGTTGTATCATAAATTTTATGGGAATTTATCATGGAAGCTTACATTATGTATACAGTTTTATCTAATTGTTTATGCAATTAGAAAAGATTGACTTTTCTATTCTTCTCTTTATATTGCTTATGTGACTCTTGAAGTCAATCTGTTATTTGTAATTTCTATTTTTTATATCGTTTAAACTATGTGTGAAATTCTTATGATAAAATATTAAATAGTTTTTAAGAAATAATGTATAAATATTATATATAAATTTTAGAATTATTATTTTATTTTGAAAATAAAACGATATTAAAGTTTATAATTTATTGTAATATTCGAAATATATATACACATAATATGAAATATTATTTTACATATATTTAAACATTTATACATATGATATTATTTGAACAATATTATATATACATATATTAATATTTATATATATTTATATACATTTATATGTATAATTTATATGTATAGATTTATCTTATAAGGATTTAACATCGTTATTGGAGCGTTGTTATTGGAGCGAATAATATATTTTATTTATTAGACAAGATGAATAAATGTTTCGGTACATTGCGAACTCTTTTCAATTACAATATGAAATATCAAATATATATAATTTTAGATTTCTCGACGGAAAAGAGATAATCAAGACTTAGAGGCATTTAACAATAAGAAATTAGTCATAATTCGTAAGCAAATTGACCAACTACAGTTATTCATAAAATAATTGACTATGTCAATTTGCTTGTGACTCATGATTAATGCTTTATTGTAGAAAGCCTTCTAAAGTAAGCCAACAGACGCAAATAGATATAACGCGGAACACATATTATATCTATTTGATGATGAGAAACAAAGTTAGTTACTAGTCATCTATCGATATCACACACAATTTAACAATTTAACAATTTATTCAAAAAAGGTAACTCAATTAAACTCAATTAGATGTAACAAAAGGATATGACAACCTAATTGTTTGCTAACAAAGATAGAGATCTAATCGGGCAAAATATATATAAGCTAACGCGTTACAATCTATAAACATCAGCGTGATATGTATCAAGAAAATCAGAAGAAACAAAAAGAGATACAATAACATTGAGATTCAAATGAAATTAAAATATTTAAAAATTACAGAAGTATCTGTGTATAACTATTATTATTAAGATATAATTATTCATATTGTCATCTTGTATGTTAATATCATTATTCTGTCGTTTTATAAACAGCATACCTGATATCAATCTTATAAAATAATTTTTTTTATCAGGAATTTTTGTCATTTCAATTAAAATCATGATCAAATTATAATCTATGATCACTAATTATAGATCTTTGTGATGTATTTCTATTAATATGAGAAAAATATTTTTTAATTCTGGTTTTTAATTTTTTACTAGTTTGACCGACATAAGAAGCATTACATTGTGTAAACTATATCATAACAAGATTCTTTAGACACTTTATTTTTATGTATCCTGATACACTTAAATAATTTATTCAATGGAATGTAAGCTAATTTCACACAATATTTGTAAGTTTTAAGAAAACGCTAAATCTTTCAGTGAAATTTGAAACATTTGGTAATATAAAGAACTTATCATTTTCCATTATAGTACAGCATTGTACGTCTAATATATTGTTGAATTTGGTTTTATTAAGAAATATATATAAAAAATTGCTAACATCTCTTAGAAAATGAATTCTCGATAGCAGTTCGTTCTGTATTTAACACGAATAATTTTTCTTTTAATAATAACATTTACAAACAAACTGTCGGTTATGGGTTCTTCTTTGTTTTCAATTATTGCTGGTATCACTTTACAAGATTTGGAACAGACAGAATCCTGTTCGGATCAACTTCATCTTTCAGATCATGATGCTTCCCTCAACATCTTCTTTGCCATCAAAAGGTTGTTTTCATAGATCTGATTTTGATAGAATATTTATGTTATCCCATTCCCGATATCACGAAAAGAATGTAAAATTCGTTATTAATATTATATTATACTTACTAGCAGCTTTCTGATTAACTTCATCTTTCAGATCTTGAGTTATAAATTTTGTCTATTAGAAGACAAAGATTCGTATCATTAAACCGCGATCCGTATATTTTGCGTTAAATTCGAACGGCGTAAAGCGCTCAACGTACGTCTTAGAGCACGTTGATATATGCAACGTAGAGTAATCGACATTTTAGAAGGAAGAATGATTGACAACGGCCTTAATACAAAAGAGGAAAAAAGGGAGTGATAGAAAGACAAACATTGCACTTGTAAATTATGAAAAATTATAAAGATATATATATTTATTACAGAACACGTTTGTATATTAAAGCACTTTTATTATATAGCGGAGAGCGGGACACAGAAGACCGCTTAACATTCTAAGGTTAATAAAAAATTTAGCAGTTATAGAAAATGGCCCAAAGTTGCTTAGCATATATACCTACAAGGGTTATGCATACGCAGACAAAGCGTTAGTTTAATAACTGTAAGAGATTTTATTTTAGACATTAAAATTTTTCGAAAGAAAAATGGTTCTCTGTGCTCCAAGCACGGGGCACAGAGGAATATGTATGATTTTCTATATATGTATGATAATATTTTGCATATTATATATATAAGCAGAAACAGAGTAATAAAAATAAATTTATCATTTCCAGATAACATATATGTATATATGTGTGTATATGTGTGAAAGTAACATATGAAGTAAAAAAAACAATGTTTTATTGGCATTTCTTCCTTTATTTTTAATTAATAGGCACATAATAAGAACAATATATTTATTATATAATAATGAAAAAGCATTTATTTATTATAATTTATACATACATACATACATACATACATACATACATATATATATATATATATATATATATATATATATATATATTAATATTTATAGTCTAGTCCAAAAATTCTGCAGCTTGTATATACTGAAAGTGTGGATGCTCCAAACAGAAAAATTTGGAAAACATTGCTTTATCTTTGTATTTGCATTTAGAAACCTAAAAATATCGAAAAAGTTTACAGAAATATTCCTATACATATATGGTTAGGTTTTCCATTGAATATGATAAAACAAAACAACATACATTCATGTATATATAAGAAATACGAAAGGGATAGTGTGATTAGTTTATTGACGATTGTGTCTGCATTATCGATATTGTTCGAGTTCATCATCGACTCCAAAACTGTTTATTTATATTTTATCTATAAGCGGTGATCCTCTGTGCCTCCCTGGTCCTCTGTGCCCCGCTCTTCCCTTCTTATTACTTAAGCCGCTTTCAGTAAATCAGAACCGTGCACAAACGCGTAAAACGAGTATTGTGTAAAACGATGAAACTATTACGTTGTCCGATTTTACACGGAGTAACGTTGACTGCGCTTAACCCTTGGTATACACACTTCTTTTTTAACCTTTGCATACACACTGGGTGGTTGCCACCCATGGCAATTTCAAACAGCTGTATCTTTTAAAATATTTATGCTAAAATTCTGAAAAAATTCATGAATTAACTTTAATGTTTATAGAAAATATTTACAAACTTTTGGTATTAGAATTTAAGAAATTTCATATTAAAAAAATTATGTTTCGTGATTAAAAAAAAGTGAATTTTTGCGAAAACATTTGTACCTTGTAATTTTTATTATTTTTAAGTAAAAATTTAGCATTTTGTTGTTGAAATATTTATCTTTAAGAAAAAAATTGTCTCGTAAGCCAAAAAAAAGTATATTTATTTTGAATATCAAAGTTTCATTATTTTTACTTCAGACGGCTGCCTGAAGCTAACTAACGCTTATTTTGCTAGCAGAGTGGAATCAAAGCATAGTTAAAACCCCAAACTACAATTAGATGGCGACACTAGTTTCATTTATTACGGTACTTAAAAGATACAGAATTTTAATTATGGGTGATAACCACCCAGTATATACACGAAGGGTTAAAATCCCGAAGAACTCATCTTACTGCTATGGTCGAAGACGGAAAACACTAAGGAAAAACTTGGAAAATACGGAGTCAATCCTCTGTATCTTTTCTTTTTGCAATAAATTGCACTCGCGACTTAGTAACGGTCGATAGTATAACGAGCAACTGCGTCCAATAAGCGAATGGCCTCGAGTTCGTCTCGAGAATATCTTTCATATTCTACACGCACGTGTAAATTTTTTACTTATTTACAAGTTAACGCGTCAATCAGATTGTTTATAAATGAAACTATAATGAACAAATAAATCCGCGATCAATAAAAAGGAACACTACATCCCTTATAGAAATATCATACTAAGAATGATTGATAATTACTTATTTTCAGTATTAAAAATACTGGATAATAAGTAATTATCAATGATTCTTAGTATGATATTTCTATAAGGGATATTGTATATGAATCCCGTTAATCACAAGGTCATGTCATCCCGTCAAATTAAAAGGTCATGTTGTATCCATAAATAGTGGTTTAAATTAAGCCGCTCATAAAACATAGAAACAATGAACCTAGCCGGTTCGGTCCGAAAATCTGACTGATTAGAACGGTTGCGACGATATTCCTTCACGATTCTAGTCAAATCTATGTTGCACTGGTTAATCTATGCCTAATAAGGTGATAACATAAATTAACTAAACTATTTACTCATATGATTATTAAACAATTTAACTGATCCATCTTTTTATTTTCTGCGTTAACAAAAGTCAGAATCACAATGGTGTATAAACATAAAAGAGATAACTAAGTAAAATAAGCATTTGGTAGGTAATTTTCGCCGCTAAAAAATAACAAAAAATGAAAAAAAATTTTTTTATATAAAATGATGTTATATTCGGAACATGATTTTGACAGATTTAAACAGATTTTTAACCGATAAAAGACTTATTCGGTACTGACTGAAACGCGTTGCCGCGACTTAAACAGTTAGAATCGCTATTAGTGGAATAATCTGGGTAATGTTTAACTGATTAGATTAGATTGGTTATAGTAAAAATTAAAAAATTATGATAAAGCAAAACTATTGTACGAATATAAATGGTTAAGTACAACTATGTTCTGTAAAGTTACTCACTCAAACTCATCCTTCAATTCGGCAGATTACGCCTTAATCTTGTATATTAAAAGAAACCTGGATAAAGTCCTTATTCGGCGAAAGCTATTTTTATTAGATAAAATAAAATAATTAAAAGTCGTATATGCTTATCATGAAAATGATGCTCTCAAGAGATAACAAAGGATAACAAAAAACTCGACTCGATTATTAGATGACTTTTATAGATGAAGTTTTTTAGTCTTATAATGAACCGTGTCACTTTGTTTCGTTGTGGTTCGGTTTTTTCCTGAATGGTAGGCCAATTTTTCCTCCATTGGCAGTTTGCCACGAACTTACTCGTTCTCAGGTCATTTATTCTTGACAGTTTGTTTTTTAAAACTGGTGTACCCTTAGTCCGGACTTAGTAATCATCATGGACTTTGTGCTGTGTCGAATCATTCGTATCTTCGTCCGAGAAGATGTTTCCTTATCTATTTCATATCACTTGGCCTTGGTTCTATGCCCGAGGTGCTACGTATCGGTAATCGTATTGGTAATCGTATTAGTAATCGGTCTTGATTCTTCCTCCTTTTTTTTGTGTTTCTTCTTACTTTTGCGTTTTTTGTTTTGTGTTTTGTTTTTTGTTTTGTTTTTTGCTTTGTTTTTTGTTTTGTGTTTCTTTGGCTTATTAGTATTATGCTTTTTTTCCTCATTATCCTGGGTTACCTCATTATCTTGGGTTGGTACTTTGATGTCACTTGATTGTTTCTGAAGTGTAAGCCGAAGATTCATAGATAAAGAGGTTACGAATGTTGTTCCAGATGTATCTGTTGCCGGAAGAGTACTCGATGTGGAGTTCAATAACTGTTGACTCATCTGAGGTTTCGATACTAATGTATTTTTTGATACGATGGTTTCGCATAACATTGTGAATATGAAAGAATATTCATTGATTTCTTTGTACTTTTCCACTTGTTTTTTCATTACTAGCGCCTCTTCCAGAATTGAATTGACTTCTGCCAGGTAAACTCGACGTGCTTTATCACTTTTATTTTTCCAATGTTGTAGATAACGGTTCCATCTCTCCATTGGTAGTACTGGAATTTTATTTAGGTTACTCATGTAAAAATCTGGAGATTTTTCTAGGAAGACATCCATCCTAGAAACATCTATCATTTCATCCTGTGTTATGTTTTGTTTGTTTTCCATGTGGAATGACTGGTTGGGATGGTGTTTGGGATTAAAGGATTCAGCCCGACGATAGTCAGGTGTTGCTCTTTCAATTCTTTCGGACAGAGGTTCGGTAAACTTTGATGACATAGGATCCATGATGATGTATCAAGTTGTTCGCAAATTTTTCTCTTTTGGTCGTGTTCGGCGAACGCTTGATTTAGTTTTTATACATATTTATTTATTTCTTCCTTTGAAAGGGATCTTTGGATATTTTTGCCGATTTTAATAATTGGTTTTGTCGGGGTGTTAAACTCGTGACGCTTATTTCCTCAGCTGTTATTTCGTAATTCTCTATTGGGAGGTGGGTTGTATTCTTGTTAACACTTGACCGTAAGTGTGTTGTCTTCTGCCACTGTTTCTACCTATTAGTATCTGGATGCGTACGGACTTGCAAGAACACGCACGGACCTGCACAACCAAACTGTGTAGTAAATCGCTAACTGACTATTGCCGCAACACTTACAAATCTTACCTTAGGAATGTTGTAGACGGCTAGTCGTTAGTACCTGGGAAGCGTACCAGCTTCCGGACTCTTCTCATTCCTTTCCTGGTTACTAGCGGTCAGCTGCACTGCTACATTGTTGCAATAAGCTAAAGTGAAATAAAATATATTTGTTTCATTCTCATTTATTGCATCAGTGAAACAGTGTAGCTGAAAAGAACAGACCTTAGAACTCCGCTGCTTGTGACACGATCGGGACACTTCTGCGAACACGTACGCTGTCCAAGATGGACTGCGGAAGAAAGGCCACGAGTCTCGGCCAGAGCCCACGGTCACGACGATTGAGTAAGAATCACGCGCCATCTAGGTGCCCGCACGCGCACTCACAAGTCAGACTCTCACAATATTAGTCAGATTTGAATCAGATATTTGACTTCAGAGTCTAAGTAATGAGAGATAAATATCATTCCTTCGTATCTTTTAGTTTATTGCAGTACCGACGTAATGAAGATTGTAAGTCTCCTGTTTAGGGACCCTCCTCAGATGACCTTGACCTGGACATATATTATAGATGTCACCCTCCTGAGTGACCTTCAGAAGATTTCAGCCGTCGCTCATTGTCTGTTAAAAAGTTATTGATGAAAGAATTTAAGCAAACATATAACAATTTCTCGATACTATGTACGGTTGACACACACACACACCCACTGCTCGCCACAAGCGCGCTCGCCCGCCCGACAGGGCGGGTTCGCGGTATGTGTATGTGTTCCTATTATATTTTAAGTTTTACAAATACACACTTTTTCGCACACATTTGTGAGAAATTCTCGCTCTTTAGCTTAAGTACAACAGACTTGAGCCCCCCTTCGTCGCGGTGCGGGAGGTATGGGAGGCGTAGCCCCCTAGTTACATGGCTACATGGCCCAGAGCCCCCGCACAGCAGCGGGAGGGGGCCAAGTCTGTTGTACTTAAGCTAAAAAGTGAGAATTTCTCACAAAAGTGAAAGGAAACGTGTGTATTTTATAGAACTATCTTGAAAAATTACGTTACATTCATACAACTTTTTTTGTTAACAACTTTTTAACAAACAACGAGCGACGGCTAAAACCTTCAGAAGGTCACACAGAAGGGTGACCTCTATAACATTTGTGAAGGTCAAGGTCATCTGAGGTGGTTCCTTAAACAGGAGTTTTACCATAAAAAGATATAAATGAACGATATTATCATTCATAGTGTTTGGCTATAAATCTTACTAATATCTAATTTAAAGTTCAATGTGCGTTGCACATTTAGCCGATTTTAGACTTACACTTACTCGCATTATTTCTCTTATTTCATGCATCTGCGCGTAAAACGAAACGCTCCAGATATTCCTATGTTAGAGAAACGTCTTTAGCGTTAATTCAAACTTCAATGTTTGTAAAAAACCATAAAGATTAACTAATGTATTAATAGTTAATGTATTAACTAGAAGAACGTAATTTGATATGTATATAGAAATAACACGTGTACATATATTTTTATACGCACTTTTGCCGAAAAACATAATATTTATATTAAGACTACTTTGAAAATCAAATAGGACATAACATTTGTTTTCGGGATACAAGATGTCACATCTTTAATGTTTTCTTATTAATTTATATTTTATTAAATTTTGCTGCTTTGGTCATGATATTTCACGAAGTTTTTTGACTACCAAGCGTCGGAAATAGATTACCAATCGTTAAAAGACGACCACCAAACAAATGTTAACAACAAAAATTATGTACGATGTTTTGAAAGTGGTTTTTCAACTTAGAGGAAGCCAACTTTACATATGTTTTTATTTTTCTTGAAATTTCACGCAGTTTTGATTATCAAACGTTGGAAATGGACTACCAAACGTTAAAAGATCACTACTAAATAAATAGTAAAAGTAAAAATTACGTATGATGTTTTAAAAGTGTTTTCCCAGTTTAGAGAGGACCAACTTCACATGCGTTTTTATTTTTCTTGATATTTCACCCTATTTTTACTATCGAACTTTGGAAATGGACTACCAAACGTTAAAAGGCGATCACCAAACAAATGGTAACAATAAAAATTATGTATGATGCTTTGAAAGCGGTTTTCCAAATTAGGAGGAGCCAACTTCACACGCAAATTCTTTTTTTCATAATATCTGACGCACTTTTGACTACCAAACGTCGGGAATAGACTACCAAACGTTAAAAGGCGACCACCAAACGAATGGTAACAGCAAAAATTATGTATGATTATTTGAAAGTGGTTTTCTAACTTAGTGGGGGCTAACATCACATTTTTTTGACATTACACGCAGTTTTGACTACCAAACGTCGGGAATGGACTATCAAACGTTAAAAGATGACCACCAAACGAATAGTAACAATAAAAAATATATATGATGCTTTAAAAGCGATTTTCTAGCTTAGAAAGGAATAACTTCACATTTTTATTTTTCTTAACATTTCACTCAGTTTTGACTACCAAACGTTGGAAATGCACTACCAAACGTTAAAAGGCGATCACCAAACGAATGGTAACAGCAAAAATTATGTATGATGGTTTGAAAGTGATTTTCTAACTTAGAGGGGGCCAACTTCACATGTGTTTTTAATTTTTCCTGATTTCTGCAGCAGTTTTCACTACCAAACGTCGGAAATGGACTACCAAACGTAAAGAGGCGACCACTAAACGAATGGTAACAGCAAAAATTACGTACCATGCTTTGAAAGTGGTTTTTCAGCTTAGTGGAGGCCAACTTCACATTAGTCTTTTATTTTCCTTGATGTTTTACGCAATTTTGACTATTAGACTACCAAACGTTAACAAGCGACTACCAAACGAATGGTAATAGTAAAATTTATGTACAGGGTGCGGCGCCAAAATCCGGACAAAATTCAATTTGAAATTCTCGCCGTTCTATACCACTAGTAGATGTCGCGGTTAGCGTTCAAGTAGCTTGACGCATATACTAAACCATCATAACCTCGAAACAGTCGCAATGTTGAAACCAAGTGCGGAGTATAACCGAAAAGCCGCAATTATCGAAAGTGTTCGCGCTGGGCGCTCGGCGACAGAAATCATTCGGTTCTTCGGATACCCGAGATCGACTATGATCGAGATGATGTCATCGCAAAGTACAATGAGTTGGAGAAGAATTTCCGGCTAGGTGTTGTATCCAGTGAGGGTGATGTCATGCCACCGCATTTTTTAACAAACAGGAAAATGTCACAAAAGAAGTTTATTTGCGTATTCTGACAAATGTAGTGAAGCAGTGGATGGAAACTGTGTCGTCTGAAAAGCCGTATGTTATCCAGCAGGACGGTGCGCCCGTCCACACAAATCATTTGGTGCAAAATTGGTAGTCGGACAACGTCGACATGTTTTGGTCGAAAGAATTCTGGCCTCCCAATAGCCCAGATTTGAATCCTTTGGACTTCTATGTATGGAGCGTAGTTGAAAGGGTCACGAACAAGTCCAGACACCCAAACGTCGCATCATTGAGAGCCGCTATTGAAGCGGCATTCACCGATATGGACCGTGACACATTAAAGCGCGCCTGCGCACGCTTCAGACCGAGAATGGAGGTGGTCATTCAAGCAAGCGGGAGATATATTGAGTAAATGTGTTCTTTATGGCCTTACAAATAACGTGGTTAAAAAAATTTTGTAAATCTTTTCGTTTTTGCAATAAAAAATATGTTTGGAAAAAATGTATAATTTGTCCGGATTTTGGCGTCGCACCCTGTACATAAGTTTGTAGCCGCACAAATGTGGACGAATCTATGCACGATATGCTATTACGACTTAATGGCAGAACCACAACAGAAAAAATAGCGAATAGTGTTTTTTTAAACAATGA